AAGAAAGAAAGAAAGAAAGAAAGAAAGAAAGAAAGAAAGAAAGAAAGGAAGGAAGGAAGGAAGGAAGGAAGGAAGGAAGGAAGGAAGAAGTGGGATCCTGCAGTAAGCCTTACTCAACCTTTTTAATTCCAGTGCCTTCCCTCTATTAATTATTTCCTATTTATCCTTTATATCCTATATACTGTATTTCTCCTATATATCCAAATAGTTTGCTTTGTACATATTTGTTTTCATGGTGTTTGTTTCACGTTTTCATGCATATGCATACACATATGCAGATATTCAAAGAAATTTATTTTGCACATTATATGATTTTATTTGAACTTATTTAATAATTTCAAGACTAAATTAGTTATCAGTGTCATATGTGAAATACATATTCACATTTAGTAAATAATGGTGGTTTTCTGAATGCGTCCACCATGGCTTATTAAATTTATAGACAAAGATACAGGATAGTAATTCCACATTAGTGATTTGAACAGGTATATAAAATATAGTGAAACTTTAAATGAATGGTAAAATATAAAGATATATAAGTTAATATGCCATTGAAAACTAATTTAATCTCTAAATGATAAAATAGGTCCACGTAGAATTATAGCACATGCAAAATCAGTTTCTATGTTATTACAACTTATAATCCACCAATTCAATTCAACAGACACTTAAGTGCTTTGTGTATAGCCTTATGCTAGCTGCTGAGCATATGAAGACAGTTATGAAAGCATTACTTTTCTCAAAACATCTACATTCCACTAAAGATATACGTGTGCATAACTATTTGGGGCAGTTAGGTAGTGAAGTGAATAGAGCACAGGCCTAGAGTGAGGAACACTCCTCTCCCTGAGTTCAAATTTGGCCTCAGATTTTTTAGTAGCTGTGTGACCATGAGCAAATCACTGAAGCCTGTTTGCCTCAGTTTCTTCATGTGTAAGATGAGCTGGAGAAGGAAATGGTAAATCATTCCAATATCTTTGCCAAGAAAACCCCCAAAGGGGGCCACAAAGAGATGGTCATGACTGAAACGACTGAACAACAAAAATAGTTTGCTGATTTTCAAGGTGTGAATGCTTACACTGAAAATTTGATGAGCTGAAAAATTAATGAGCTGGTAAGGTGGGCTGGCTCCAGCATGTCCTTTGGATCCCACTGCCTGCCAAAGGCACAGGCCTACTCAGTCAGTTTGTTAGTCAATAAACATTTATTAAGCTTTGACAATATGGCATTGTGCTGAAAAGAAAGGCAAGAGACGGTCCCAGATTTCAAGCTCATCAGTCTAATGGGAGACAACGTGAAAACAACTGTCTACAACTATGTATGTATGTGTGTATATGTATATGTGTATACACACATCCCATGCATATATGCACATGTGTGTGTATATGTGATGATACATAATGTGTATGATAAATTGGAGATAATCAACAGAAAGAAGGCAATAGCATGAAAGGGGACCAGGAAAGGCTTCCTGTAGAAAGTGGGATTTTAGCTAGGACTTGAAAGAAGCCAGGAAAGTGAGGAAGTAGAGATAAAGAGGGAGAGTATTCCAGTCATGGGAGGCAGCCCATGAAAAAGCCCAGAGATGGGAGATGAGTCTCTTGTTACAGGAGCATCAAGGAGACCAGTGTCACCTGGTCAAAGAGTGCCTAGGGGTGAGTCAGGTGTAAATAGACTGGAAAAGTAGGAAAGGACCATGTTATGAAGGGCTTTGAATGCCAAAAAGAGGATTTTATATTTGATCCTGGTAGGGAGTCATTGCAGTTTATTGAGGGGGAAAGAGAATGTGACCTGGCCAGATCTGCACTTTAGGACAGTTGAGTAGAGGGCTGACTATGGTGTAAATGAGATCTTGGGGGTCCCGGAGGCTGAGAGTCTCCTGCAACTGACCCCAGCACCCTCTAGGGCACACAGAGTAAGAAAGTGAGCATTCTGGGCAATACGTTTCTCTGTTTTACTAGAAGGAACAAGGTTCCAACTTTGAAGAAGAGGAATATCAGAAAATGACTAACCCTATCGATTGGGGAACCAAAAGAAATTATGCTAAATTGTACACTTGGACAGCTTTCAGTACTGAAGAGTTTTATTTTTCATAGCATGGCAGAAAGAAATGGGCAATATATAGTATGTCGCTTTGCAGGTTTTTTTTAAATAAAAGGAGTGGACTGTACAAATTCCTATACTACCTGAAAATAGACATTTATATTCTTTAATCATTTAAAAATCTGCAGGTAATTGACATCCTGTACTAGTCAATAAAGTGATGTGAATCTATATATATGCACACATATTGATATATAGATTCAAGTATAGATGTATAAATAATATATGGATGTGTGTATGTATATATACGTATACACACACACACACACACACACACACACACACGTGTATTGGTGGGAACCCAGATTTTCCTGGTCTCAATATGGACTCGGCCTCCACTATCCCAGGCTGAGAATCAGGATTTCCACATTTTTATTTCTACTCTGCCATTGACTCACTTTAATAAGTCATTTAACCTGTGCCCCAGTTTCCTCATCAATGAAAAAGGTGAGTTTGCTAACCTAACCAGTCAGGGGTGAGGTGAGAATTCCTTAGCTAAGGTGTTAAAATTCATCTTAGTAACAATAGGTGTTACTCATGATACTATCTACTTAATCCTTTAATAACATAAATTGCCATAAATGGGAACGGGCTTAAATGGGCTGTCCTATATTTAGAAACTGTCAAATTTCTAGGTGAACTAGAAACTTTCAAACTTTGTATAGCAATATGTGTTGTCTCTGAGGAATAAGAAGCACATTTGTTACCCAGAATCCTTAAAGGAGAGTCCCAGCTCCAGAGGGGTTCTGAAAGCCAACACCTACCCCATGAAGGATGTTTGTTGGGTAGGTAGTCACAGCTCTAATCACCATCATCTTCAATTAATATGTGTGGAAGGCATTAATGCCATCCCTAGATGTCATTCTCTTCAATATATCAAAAACTAAGATTTCTTTCTCCTTTGTGACTGCTTCCTTCACTGACACAGACCCACTAACAACTTCTCTATATCTCACTAGATTTCATGGGTTGTTGTAGGCAAAAAATGTCATCTTCTGGTAACCAACCTAGTAATGAATCTCCCCAGATTTAATTATCCCATTCCTAGAAGTTTGCTAGAGGTTTTGATTCAGTGACATGACCAAGAATTTGGAATCAGCGTACCCGGATTTACAAACCTGATCCTGATACTTTCTACTTTGGGAAATTTGGACAAGTCACTTAAGATCTCTGGCCTCAGTTTTCTCATCTGTAAAATGAAAAGTTTGGACTAGTGTACTTCTGAGGCCCCATTTTGCTCTAAATCTATGCTCCTATCAATCAAAGTCAAGTCTAGACCATGGAAAGCCCTTCAAGTAGGATTTTAATGAAGACCTAGCCTTTTTAGTAGACAAATAAACTTCCATTCAATAATAAAACTCACTCCCCTACTCATCTGATTTTAGGCTCATAAGAGATGCCTTTGAGTCTCTCTGACCTGTAGTAAGCCCTTGGCCTCCCAGTTCAACCTTTCTAAACAGCACAAATTCACATGGCAGATTCACAAATACCAAAATGTAAACAAATGGTCTGAAGAATGGGAAAATTCTATAACCTTTGGATCTTGGAAGTGGGCCAAGTTTTAGTAAAAGGCAGATTTGGGTCTGTTTGCCTGGTGGAAGAAAGATATTGAGAGACGTGTTAGGAGAGAGCTTTCAGGAACTCCTGCCCTGAATGGAGGGTTGAAAGCATGCATAAAGCTGAATCATTTTCTGGATGACAACCTAAAACATGCTACATTATTAAGCCTGTCCTTTTAGCAGAAGTCATGAAAGGCAGAGCAGAACTGAACTGAACTGGAAGGAGACTAAATGCTACTAGTTGTGAATGACTAAGGCACAGAAGGCATTTTAGAGCAGGATGTGAGTTTAATGAGGCTCTCACCTTCCTTGGGTGGATGCAAAAAGTTGGCAAGGTGTCCGCAGGCACAGAAAGAATGGCCACAGAGGAAGTTGCAATATAGCAGAGAATCACAGAGTTAGAAGGGATCTGAGGCCATCTGGCACTACCTTTACCTGAGAGGAATCTCTAAAATGTCCCCAACATGTGGTGATACATCCTCTACTTGAACACCTCAAGCAACAGAGAACTCACTACCCTTCTAAGGTGGCCAATTCTATTTTCATATTAAGCCAAA